GAGAAGAGAAGAGAAAAGGTGTACGATAAGCTAAAAAAGGACTAACTCCAAGATGGGATGCTCGAAAGCAGACCAACTCTACAATGAAAGGAGGAAACAAATGGACAGCAGCAGCTTAGCGGCATCCCACGTGTCGGACAGGGTGAGGTTGAAATTCATACACAAAAAATATCATATAAGGGTTGAATCATTCCATCTAAAAAGGGCTCAAAAAGAAAGTCTGAAGAAGAGCACCTGAAGAAAAAACAAAGAGCCGCGGTCACTCAGACTGTGGTCACTTCAGAGTGGTCCGTAGTGCAAACTACTGTACCTCCCAGTTAAAAGTAGGACATGTCAACTATTTACACATTGACACATCGGGATTCTCAAGACACGATCCAACTATATGGACAACTAACATAGAAACCTATGTAAAGTAACAACAGCCAGAAACTTTTTTTCTAACAATTAGTATACACGCACTGCCATCTCAGCAAATTGTGGTTGTTGGGAGTTCCCCCAACATCCCTCTTGCAGTGCTCTCTCTCACTTGCGCTCCCATACCAGCCAGTTGCACACCCCTTAGCAACTCCATGGAAGGGTTGCAATGATAGCCAAATCCCATTCTCTATTAACAAAGTACACGGGGCCACGCCATCTTAACATACAGTCATTGTTGGGAGCTTCGACGTCCCCACACCGGCTAAGTGCACACCCCTCCCTCAGCAGCTCCCCTGTTGAGCTGCGAGTTTGATCTTGTTGTGTCCGGTAGATCAACAACCAGACATCTGCTCTCTACAGCAGCATATCATTATCAAAATGTGAAAAGGAAAGGGTGTTCAAGTTCAATCACATTTATGATTTGTCCTCAACTCTAACATGATGCAACATTTCAATATCAGAGTTCAGGCAAGACAGATCGATTTCATGAGAAAAATTCTGCTTGACAAGGCCCTGAGTAGGGGGTTTAAATCTGAGGGACTGTCAATCAAAGAGGATTTCGGACTTTTTCGCAAGGGAAAGAAACTTCTGCAGCAAACAGAAATTGCAAGGCAAGGCAAGGCAAGACAAGGCAAGGCAAACTAAAAAAACGAGATCAAAGCACAAACAAAAGCAGAGCATAGCGAAATCAAAGCAAAACAACAGCACAGCAGGGCAAAATCGGATGGTAGTTAAGGATACGATACAGAGATGGTGGACTTGAATGTCGTCCAAGCAGGATCAGCCATCTGCAGACCAGACGACGGCTCTGCATCGCAGACAGATGTGCCATCCTCCTCCGGGAGGCGATACATCTCCCAAACGAAAAGCACAAGACAAAACGCGAGGTCGAAAAAAAAAAAGTGAGGAAGTGAGGCAGATAGTAAGGGACAGAAGAGCATAGACACAGCAGCTAACCATTCAAAAGGAGTGATGAATGCGACGAAGAGGGATGAAGTCAACAAGCACAAGCCAACTTTCTTCACTCTAGTAGAGTGCAAACAAGCATGGGTGCCAAGTGACCATCTCAGCTGCTGCAAGCATCCCAACCATGGCAGGCACGCCTTTGTTCAAGCGCACAACCCCCTTTTTCCTTTTTTCGATTGCACGCACAAAACTAGCTGGGCTAGTTGGGCTGAATGTCACTCACAGCCAGTTTTTCCCATGCCATGGTGCATGAGACTGCATGCCCTGCGGTGAGCACTACCATACAATGCAGTACATATATCGAATGGTAAGCTGTTTACCGAGCGGCAGTCAAACTTCAGGATGTTCTGTGAAGCAACCTGCATTTTTACATGGAAAGGTAACTTTTTTACCAAGTGACGGCCGAACTGAAAATGGATTTCACCTTCTGATTTCCTTGCCTCACCTTTCTAGTTCTTCTTTCACTATTTCAGTTCACGAACCAGTGGCAACCTTTGCCATTACCCCTGAATCTGAAGCACCAAATGTGTACATTCACGGTCGACAGTCTATTGTTAATAGTTGCTAGTGCCGGATCCCTGTTTGCTAGGAGAGACCAATTGCTACCTTGCAGAGAAAAAAGCATGTTCTTACTAGGCAAAGTTCTGATGATGTTCTTTATAAAGATACTCGTCTGTATACGATCTCATCCCTGAAGTGAAATCAACCTCAGCACACCGGCTCACCTTTTTAACCACTTTAGGACGACTTTTGCATCCCATTTTGCTGAGCCTCGTTCAGTTCCCCTCTTCACGAACCTCCTCACAACACTTCATGGAACAAGCGTAGAACTGCTACCGAACCCGTACTTGAACCCATCTGCTCAGACACCAGTTCCCAAAGGCGTCATGTCATGCATGGAATCAAGAATGGTGGATGCAGAATGCTAGAGACGTCAGGCATTCTGTACCCTGCTCGTCTCAGCTGCCACAAAATTTTTCCCATGGCAACCAGCCAGCTAACTCTGATAAGCAAACGGGACAACACCCTGTGCTAACCTACGACGGGAGAAACACCTCGCTTAACGCTGTGGTGTAGAATCCAGTACTGAAATGCACGGCAGCCTGCAGGCAGGCAGAAGCTCGAGTGACTCATACCCTTGGCAAAAGCCTCGAAAAGCAACCGAAAGTGGTGGCCGTCAAGAGCAGTTGAAGGGGCCAACCTATGCAGTGTACCGTTGCAGCAATGTCCAAGCAAACAGCGAAAACCATGAGAATTGAGATGATTTCCTGAACTCTCCGAGGTCTGGTGGAGGTGCAAACCTACCGATCTCACATCTGCTATGGAGCACAGCAGCTCAACAATGATAAGCCCAACTAGGAACCCAAGAGAGTGCAATCCCCTTCCAGAGGTCTGCTTCAGCTGCCATCGGGATGGACCAGAACAATCTTGTGCATCCCTTGGACAACAAAAAACAGAACCTCCCCGCCAGATCCTATCTCATACAGCTGTTTAACTCAAACAGCACAAAAACTAATGCAGGATCACCAGCTCATAGACTGAACGCTAGCAGCGTTAGCAATATCATTGCTCACCAGTGCTACTTCTACATCACGCATCTTATCTTATATAAGAACAAGTGGACCTGCCGCAGCGACGCTGCGGGGAAGGACGATGACAAAAACATTTTGCGAAACACCCCGGACATCGGTTGGACCCCATCTTTGCAATGTACCCCTATCGGACACTGTCCGACTTTGCAAAATGCCCCGGTAGTTGCCAACTTTTCGTAGGTGCAATTGCAAAAGCCCAAGGCCCAAATGGGGAGGCTGACATTGCGAATTTGCAGACGCGGCTGACAGGGGCATAAAACAAAGATGTCAGCCCAAAAGGCCATTCCACTGTACCGAGATCTTTCATGGACATTTTGAAATATATCTCAACTTATATGGGGGTATTTGGCAAATTACCACCACCCCAAAAAAGGCCGATGGCATCTTTTCAACATTTGGAGGAAGATATGCCAGTCCTCTCTCTCTCTCTCTCTCTCTCTCTCTCTCTCTCTCTCTCTCTCTCTCTCTCTCTCTCTCTCTCTCTCTCTCGTGTGCGCGCGCACGCACATACT